ATATCTCAGGTACTATATATGCAGTTTAAGTGTGCATACAAGTAGTGCTTTCTACTGCTTTACAGTGGGCTTCACCCATTGAAAGGAAGGTAGTATATTTATTTTCTGTAGTTTAACTTCTGTAAGTATGCATGCAAGAATTTGAAAAACCCAAATTATTATTATCATTCAGGTTGGAAGACATAGCAGTCTTCAAAAACAGTCTTCAAAACCAAGTTATCTTTTTGTCTTTTGTAAGTTGTGAAATTCAGCCGTGCTTTTTACACAGTTTTTGAACACGTATTCCTTATTTAAGCATTTCTGATTTAAACTCAGTGTTCTGCAGTGTTTAAGGAATTAAATTAAATGTCATGAATGTGCAGAACATTAAATCAGTCTATTGTAAAATAGTTCCTTCCATAAGTATTGAACCATTTTCCAGTTTTTAAACCATATATGATTACTGTTTCATGAAATTGTATATCTCAATAATATGGTTCTGTTTCTTCAGTTTATTTTTAAATCAAAATTAATGTATGTGCCTTTTTAAAAAATGGTTTATAGAGTCTATTGACATAATGGTAAAAAAGAAAACTAAAAGAAAAAAACATGACAGTAACTTAAATTCTTTTTGTGGTTGCTCGTTTTTTACTTCCTGTGATCATACATTTCCTTTGGAGGGTTTAAATCAGAGACCATTTTATTCCCTGATGGTATATATACACTGAGAGAGTCAAGTAAATTAAGCTTAATTAGCAGAAGATGTGAATTTAAAGCTCATTAAGTCCTTATAAGTATTTCCTTCAGAAATAATTTGGCTTTAGTTCTGAAGAGGATCGATCTTATATGAATTGTTTTAGGAATCATATCTTCAGAGGAAATATGTGTGTGGCAAAAAAATTACAAACTCATTTTATTTATGGTTCCTTACAGTAACAGCTAAATATTTACAGTAGATGAGTTTACACTGAAAAACAACCTGTAATCCAATTTTTACTATCCACAGCATATGAAGTAGATCCTAAATTTTCATAGATTCAATTCAAGCATTCTCTGTCTCATTCTCGTTCTCTAACCCCGGTACTTTTCAAATTCTCTAGTTTCTTGAGTTGCATTCCACATATTTTAGTTCCCCTGTTGGAAATATTATGAACTTGGTAGCATTCTAACACAGAAATACCATGATAATCTCTGAATCTTTAAATGTATGAACTTCCATAAAAATTAATTTATATTAAGCAACAAAGAAATATTCAAAACAAATATTCAAGAAAAGTGCCACTATAGCTTAAAATATGTAATGTACAAAAGTAGTAATTTTTAAAAAATAATGCTTTTTTTCTTTCTTTTTTTTTTTTTTCCCAAGCATCTGAAACTCTGGTTTTCAAATTTCCTTTGCCTCAAGCCATTTTGTGATATAAGTTGCTCTGTTTCATTTGTTATTCATGGTGCAACAATTTTTTTTCTATGAATTTTCACAGGCAGTCTCCTCGCAAATCTTTATGTACTGGGCTGTCAATTGTCTGACAGTTTGTGAAACTGAGGGAAGGGAGCAACATCCTGTTCCTTCCTAGTCTCATTCATCTATCCAGACTCCTCATAAAATCTGAATACTCTTTCACTATTTCATACAATTTTAGCACAGAGTTGTGAGTCAAAATTCAGGATCATGGAACGGGCTGCCCAGGGAGGTTGTGGATGCCCCGTCCTTGGACGTGTTCAAGGCCAGGTTGGATGGGGTCCTGGGCAACCTGATCTGAATGTGTATGTTTGGTGGCCCTGCTAGGCAGGGGGGTTGGAACTACATGATCCTTGAGGTCCCTTCCAACCCGGGTGATTCTGTGTGATTCTGTGTGTGATCATAGAAAAACTGTATATATGTAGCAAATAAACTTCGTTTAACTTTTCCTCTTTTCCCTTAATTCTGCATTTTATTTTTCATTTCATTTTTAAGCACTCTATCTGCTATCTGCATTGTCGATTTTATTCTCAAATTGAATACAGGGCATTTTGTTTGCTAGAGTTGAGCTTAGATTCTGTTCATGGAGAGCATTCTTTATAGAGCTATAGAATTAAGAGTTGGAGAAAAATGTAAAAAAGCATATTTAAAAGAATGGCCCTAACATTTGGTGATAAAATGATACTTCTATACGATGAAAATGTGTTTTGAACTGGGGGTGGGGGCGCCAAGGCAAACCTTCTATCTGTTGCCCTAACACTGAATAGTCAAGTAATAGAATATACTTCTCTGTGAAAAAATGTTGATCAAAACCATGCTTTATTCATCTCAGGATTTATGGATTCAAGGCTCAAATGTCCCAACTATCCAAAATGTCAGCTTCAGAGAAGTTAAGTTGTTTCATATTGAACTAGTTTTAGATGTGAGAGGTAAAGGTAGCTATAAAGTATATGCAACTGCTCTTGCCTGTGACAGAAAAAAAAATAGGTAAAAGCTGCTTTGGAAACGCTACTAATTTTGTCACTTACTCACACTTAGATTTCACATAGTTTTTGAGTGTAGCCATGTAAAACTAGAGTATTTTTTTCCTGGGGAATAACAAATTCTGCTGCGTTCATCGTTGCCTGAAATGGGTAGATTCTCTAATTTAAAATCATTTTAGGTGCTGTTTTAAAAAGAACTGATTTTCGTACGTTAACTCGTCTTTATTTTAAGTTCATGGTCTTTTCTCTCTAAGTAATTTCAGTGACAAAGACTTAGAAGAGAACTGTTACCCACTCCGGTATGTTGTCTTAAAGCAAAGTTTGTTTATATATCAGGATTCTGTTTTTCTCAGAGGGAACATTCTCAACTTTTATTTGAGGACTCTTTGAGGTAAATATTTGCATAACATCATAGAGCATGTCTACTGCTGAAATGCCCATTAGGTTTATTTCATATGCTAATAAGTCAGCTGTCCGATATAAAATAGTTCTCTAGTTATTTTGGTGGACATGAGTTTAGGACGTTTGACTTTGATTCACATTTCCATAACAATCTGCAAATCTAATCAGTGTATTTGTGCCTCATTTCCCTGTTTTATAAGTAAAGAATAAGGCATTAAATAATTTAAAGCAAGATAAGCGTAGGTAGAATAGGTAGAGATAGTACATGGTAAAATTTTAATCACTGCAAGAATCTTATAGACCATAATTTAGTAAAGTTGTCCTGCTGCAATGATATGTACATTACATTACTCTTGACTTTCTGTGAGTTGGGTTAGTCAGCACTGATGTATTTTATGCAGAATCATTACAGGGGAACAGAAACAAGCTGTTCCATCTCAACTGTGTGTTGGTATTTATAGATTCTTTGCCCAAAGTGGAGAAATCTTTTGCACATTGCTACTGATATATAAAACACATGCAGTGATTTTTCAAATTTTGTCCATGCAGTTACAAAATAAAAGTGATAGAGTGATTTCTACATTTCAGGAAGCGTATTTGAGATAGGAGTCATGAATTTGTATTAGAACTTCACATAGAGATTCAAGCATGTCATAGATATTGAACAAGTTATTGACAACATAGTGCAAAGGCTGAATTGTCTCACATGAATGAAGGTGAGGATAACTCAAGTTATCTTGTGCTTCTCCTTTTCGTAACTGAAAATGACAGGTTACTTGTGGAGGATGCATAGAAGATGTGCGCAGAAGATACTGCTCTCACAGGAAACTTAGAATTATGCCTATAGTGCAGAGCCTGTCTGCTTTACCACCACTATCAGTCATATGCCTTTCTCTCTATCCAGCAGTTAAGAAACAGAAGTGCATTGGGACTGCAACGAGGAACTCAGCAGTACTTTTTAATACTAGGAATATATTTCTCTTATTTCCTCTAAAAATGGCCTGCAATTGCCTCTCAGAGGTGAGGCTCCATAACTCTATACTTGTTCAGCAGAATTACTGGAAGCAATATGTGGTTTATCTTCAAATTTCAGAAAGTGTTAAAAACTTTTGGGGCAAATTGTGAGAATACCAGTTTCTGTGGAAGGCTACCTACGTTTCAGGTTTTTTTCCCCTTAAATATATTGACTTAATAATTAGCTACTGAAGTGGACCAAGTTATATGATCTCAGTTGTATGCCTTTACTTAATCAAATCCTTAGTGACCTAAATCACTGAATAGGATTATTTTCTCTCTCTTACAGTGAAGGTAAATTTAATTAAGTGTCAGTATTACCTAATGCAATTATTTTTTCCAGAGTATAACAGAGATTATTTCAGACAGCTTATAAAGCAAACACCACTTGGAAGTTATTATGATTAAACTGATCTATTGTTTGAGGATGCTACAAAAATAGTTATAAATTTCCTTCTATGAATCCATGGCTCAGGAAAGTAGTAAGAACATTCTGTCTGTTTTTGAAGGACATTATAGTGATTATAATAGGAACAAATCAGGTTAATTGGTGCATAAATATTAAATCATCTTGTTCTGCAACTCTGATCTTTTTTTATTTGGAGTATCAAAGTTATTATTGATGACTGTAAGGTAAGACTAATGTATACATATTTTATTTTTCATGTAGTGAGATGTACACAGTTTGAAAACCTTGGACTGTTGAGTCTTTAATCACGTGCATTGAAGTATTTGAGCACAAATGTCACAAATGTGCTGTCTTGCCTTTCTTTACTGCCCTTCCTTTCTTTAATTAAATGAGTTGGTATGCCACTTTGGTGTCCTACACCATGTACAGAAAGTGAGGAGGGATGCCGAGATCTTTCATGATGTGTACTGAACCATGAACAAGAGATTCTTGATGTCATGGAGTGACTGAAACTTGTCTGAATTCCAAATGTGAGAGTAGTTTTCAGATGCTTAAGTTATGTTAGATAAATATCTCTGTTTTGTGGTGGTTTTTTTTTTTTTTTTTGTGTGGAAATACATTAACTTCATTTTTCTTGACTAGTTTGCATAAGTACGTGATTAAAAAACTTTCAAAAGTTTTTATAACCATTATTTATGTGAATAAGTTTTCTATATGAATATTTTATTTATTTCTGTTATGTTTGTCTCAACAGCTAAGAAATCTTTCTAGCCTGGATCTACGTCATATCACAGAACTGGATAATGAAACAGTGATGGAAATAGTGAAGAGATGCAAAAACCTTAATTCCCTCAATCTGTGTCTGAACTGGATCATTAATGACAGGTAACTTCATTATAAGATCTAATACTAGTATAAAGCAAAATCAACTAGTTATATTAGTTGAGAATACTGCTTCATGTCTTGGGGGTTGGAGGAGATGAGTAAAACCAACTGTTTTTTGAGTTGTTCTTGTTTGGTGTGGGTAAATCATCTAAACATACCTCACGTGCTCTTATGTGTTCTTGTTGTGGAAAGTTTGCTTATAATTGGATGGCATCCCTAATTGGTTGTTTGCTGTAGATTACATGAGAACGTGCTCTTTAACATGCCTGACTGAAATGTACATTTACTATGAATCTTTCCATAAGTGGAGAGCATTTGAACAGATTTAAACATACATGAACAATGAAGCATATTTTTGTCTATGTAAGGAAAAATAGATTGCTATTATGAGTTAAGTAATCAAATTCATGTTTGTTTAGAAAGCATAAAATCCTTTACCTTTTGGCAAAGGTAAAGGAAAGAAGGAAAAAAGGTAAAGGAAAAGCAAAGACTGAAAGGATAACTGGGATATTAATGAAGTCTTTTCCTTCTGACCAGTATGCACTACATTAAGGAGAACAGGAAAGAGTGCTTAGAATGACTTTTCTTCTGTATGGCTGTGGACTTTTTCATATATATGCTCTTTCGAGTCTTTTAGAACGTATTCAAGTGAAAATAAGCTTGAACTTTGACAAAAGTATGATGTTCTAAAATTAGTAATATAGAAATGTTTTGAATATGAAGTACCATTGAATTTTTACTACTGCTCCTCTTTCGTAGCTTATTAGGCTGGTTTTGGGTTGTTGGTTTAGGTGTTGTTTGGGGTAGGGGTAAGGATATCCTTACTTTGGCATTGAAAGCACTTAATTGCCCTATGTCATTATAGGGCCATATTTGATGAGAAAAACTACTGTACTGGAAAATTTTAGAATAATTAAAAAAAAAAAAAACAACTAAGGTGAAAAATGTAAATTTAAAAGGTGGGGGTTTTTAAGGTTATAATTGGTTGGAGTAGTATACTTTACTGCAAGAACGTTGTGAGTAAAACGGTCTGCTTGGTATTATCCAAAGTGATTCTTTTCAAACTGTTCTGAAGTTTGTTACTGAACTAGAGTATGCAGTGTGTCTTTTACCTGTGTGCATATAACTCTGAAACTTCATGCCGAGTACAGTTATGAAATTTAACAAAAAAAGGAAACTGTTTCCATCACTGACAGTTATTCCGCACTTGTGAACTTTTAGATAATTGACTTCTGTCTCTGTAGTTGTTTTAATTTTGCTTCTTATTACACAGGTACGTTTTCAAAGCTTAAATTGTAAGAGATGGCCACAGATTTAATTTAGCTATTCAAATTATCTTCCAGCTAAAACAAACAGAGAAAATATGGAAAATGATGAACACTTTCATTAAATTTTATTGAGAGGTAGTTGTTCAGTAGTTTAAGAATTTTTCCCATTTTACAATTAACTTGAAACATTAATATGTATGAAGTCATTTCTCCCAGTTTCCACATGTACTGAATTAAAGGATACTGAAAACAATATGAAAGGTATGTGATATAGCAATAGTCTTTAATCAACATGGAGACACATTCAGCAGAGTATTATTAGTGTATTTACTTTGAAGAGTTGGGTGAATATTCAGAAATTCAAAGAACTGTTTGGGTATTTACCAGATAAAAATCTAAATTAGTGTAAGCTCAGTTTATTAATGATCTAAGGTATGATGAACTTGTTTTGTTTTTCATTTGATAGCAGGCCATAGCTCCTAGTTAGAACGGGTGTCAGAGGGTTTTTAATTCCTTTGAGAGGACTTTTTGATCACTGTATCCATCACACACAATATAGTACCAGTCTAAGATATACCAGACTCATGATATTAAAAAAGAGAATAGAATTAGTTTCCCCCTTTTTTTTTCTCTTAACACATTATCAACCCAGCTTATTGTCTTCTACTGATTTTTTTTACAAACTTGCTAAGACATTTTAATTCTCTGTAGTACATGAGAAGATTGTTGGGTTTTTAAATAAAGAAAAAAAAAAAACATTTGGGGCTTTGTTTGTTTACTTTCTTTAAAGTCAAGGAAAACTGTTTTTTTTTCATTCCTTGGTGCAGAACCCTGACTGAAATAAAACCAGAAAGTTCTCTTGTAGTAGAATAGTGTTAGATTTTACAGCTGAAGTAAATCTCTGATTTTAAAACTTCACTTTAGATTTCTTTATTGTTTCCAGAATTCCATAAACATTCTTTCCACAAGCAAGGCCATGGCCCCAGAATATTTATTACATTCTCCTACACATGACACAGTGTTTTATTAGATTCTGTGATCATTACAATTCTTGTTAAGTAACTGAAAGGAATCAAAACTTTCAAGAGTGCAAGACCTTTGCATGGCAAGCACAAAATTTTGGTTCTGTGGGAATTAGCAAGAACTATTATTTCTGTGTTTTGATTGAAGCTATTTTTGTTTTTAAAAGTGTGTATCTGCAAGGCATTTGTAGGGCAGTAAAAAAATAGTTTCTTTTTGCTTAAAGCAAAAAATATGTTCAGTTGAAGTAGTTTTGACATTCATTTTAAAAGTTAAAGAAAATGAGTCTCCAATAATGGCTTGTAAAACAGTGTCTTAAAAGTTGAGAGTTAAAAAAGATCTTAGAAAGCTCAATTAATCTAACATAGCAATTACTCTTGCAGGTATATAGCTGCCTCAGAAGTTTTATATACTAAAATATATCAAAGTACATCTTATATATTTTATATGCTAATTATACATCATAGAAATATTCCCATTTCTTCTTTCAAACCCAAACCTGTAAATTCTTTTAGTATGCAGAAGATTTGTCTTTAAGTCTTTATATTGCAGAGATCTGACAAACTGAGATCGACAAACATGATGGTTCCTTTGAGACTTGATTTTAAATAAACTTATTACTTTGAAGTTTTGTTAATGGTCATTGCATTTGTTCTTGCAAATTTGAATGGATAAAGCAGTAAAAATTCAAATGACATCTAGAAATAAAGCCCTAAGGAGGTTCAGCAAAGCATGACATAACATGTTGCATAGTTCTGCAGAGGAATGTGATTTTTATCATAGCACCTCACTGAGCTTTGAGCACAGATGGGTAACTTGAATTTGATCTTCTTATACCAGTGCTCTTAAAAAGTGCTGTTGTCTTGTGGAACTTCTACGAAATAGCACTATAGATAAATGAGAGTAAATGGCACAAAGGTACAGTCTTCTTGTGCTGGTTAGGACCTGGTGGTGAGATTTCTTGTTGGAGTCTGAAGTGGATAAACTCAGAAATGCAGACCTTTGACAAGTTTAGTAGTCAGGAAGTCAAAATACAAATGAAATGTAGAAGAAACATAATCAATGATTGGAAGCTGTAATGTAAACCTGACTATGAAAATGTGCAGTAGTGGAGTCAGGAAAAATGAGCATATTCTACTTTGAAGCATCTCCATCTGCTCTCTTCAGTTGGATCACTAAAACACTAATTTTCTCAGAACTGATCATTGCATTTGTTAGCAGAGAGCATATGGGGTTTTCCACACTGCTTCTTACCAGACTAAATTATTAATATGGTCTTCCGTGTGCTAGAGGAGTGTTTAAAAATTTTGTGATGACTGCCTACATTAGTTAATGTGAATTGATGAAGGCATGAAAAGCCTTGGGAGTATTTGGTCTGATGTAGATATGTGGTGGGTAGAGGACACAGTGCTGAAGATGCTTTGAACAGATGATCACTTGCTAAGGTTAGTCCCAAAGTTGCTGTCTTGTGTGGATGCTCCATCATTTCATTAGCAGAGATGAATATAAAAAAAATAGGTCAGTTCTTACAGTACATTTTCAATAAAATGCAAGTTTAGTGAATGCTGGAATTATTTTCCAGAGCAAAAACTGCTAAAATAATTTTTTCTTCCTGAAAATGTAACACTCTTCATATTTGATATTAAAAATACATTAAAACTACAAATGTGTGAAACCTTTTGGCTAGATTGTTTTTGTTTGTTTTTTGTTTTGTTTTTGTTTTTTGCACAAGCAAACTGTGTGTTTTAATCTGTGGTGATGACAAATGCTAATGCTTCATGTTAGTATTCAGCAGGTCTGACTGAAGTGCAAACTTGCTCCAGGAGCATTGATACTTCTGTATTTTTGAGTAATCTGGTTTTGGTGTATAGAGAAGACTTCCAGAAGAGAAGCTGTATTTTTGTATTATATATCTGTCATAAATCATTGAAAGTGAACTGTAGCATTTCTTAATTCTAATTTTATTTAATCTTTTAAGCATTATCTGAAGGGTGATTTCCTTTAAGTCCTCTGCATAATTATCAGGTGTTTACAGTCAGGTACATTAAAAACTTAAACTCCATTAGAAGTTATAAAATGTGCCACCTACTTTAAATGTCATACTTTTTAATTACATATGTAAAGTGAAACAAATTTCTTTACAAAAGTATTATGTAAAATGATGTGACGGTGATTGTCAGATGTTTAAGTTTCAAAATACAGTACTGAAGTTGGACAAAGATAACTTGGCATACTTAAGTGAATTTTCTACATTAAATTCTGATTTTTTGTATGGTTGAATATTATTTATTTATCTGTTTGTTTATTTATTTTTAGTGATTATGAAAAAAATAGATGAAAAAAAAAAATTCAGTCTTTATACTGGGTTAAACTTGTCTGGCTGCCAGATACCCACTCAACTGCTCTCTCAGTCTCCCTCTTCAAGAAGTCAGGGAAAAAATAAGATGATGGGTCAGATAAAGACATGGAGATCACTTGCCAATTACTGTCAGAGACAGTACAGATTCAGATTCAGTACGGAACAGATTGGACTTGGGGAACATGAATTTATTGCCAATTAAAAATAGCAAAGGATGGCAAGAGGAAAAGAAAGACAAAACTAAAGGCACTTTCCCCCATACTCCTCATCTTCCCAGTTTCAACATAATTTCTTAATTCCCCACTCTTCTATGCCCTCCTTGCTGAATGGTGCAGAGAAATGGTGAACAGAGG